TAGCCAGGGGCAGCTTGGGGTCAGTGAAACAGACAACTATACCCAGTGGGCTCTGTGCATGCCAGGCCGTGCCCAATGCATCCAGCATGATGGTGTCTCCTTCGCAGAGCTTTCTCTACAAGTGCTGGGTGTGACAATCCGGTTCTGGCGGAACCCAACTGAGAGTGCCAACTCAGGACAAATTGCTCAAACAGGGCAGTTACAGTTCAAGGCTGGGGTTTTTCCACCTCTAAGGCAAACCAAACCAGCCAGACTAAGAGGACTTCGATCTCACCCCACTGGCTAATCGCAAGTCTCACAAGCAATCTCCTTAGACACTCCAGTTTCCCAGTATTACCACCAGTGCCACTCGTTATGGGGACAAATGGTTATGAAAACCAATACCCAAGTACAAGAAAAAGGTTTTCCTGATCCCAAAGGACCAAGCCCCATACCCAGGTCAATATACAAATCAGATCTTACCCACAAATCACGCTGTTGCCAATCCCTTAGAATCTAAAATCTAAAGGTTTATTCATAAAAGGAAAAAGATAGAGATGAGAGTTAGAATTGGTTAAATGGAATCAATTACATACAGTAATTCTTGGTTCAGGCTTGCAGCAGCGATAGAATAAACTGCAGGTTCAAATCAAGTCTCTGGAATACATCCCCCGCTGGGATGGGTCCTCAGTCCTTTGTTCAAAGCTTCAGCTTGTAGCAAAGTTCCTCCAGAGGTATGAAGCAGGATTGAAGACCAGATGGAGATCAGAAATCAGCCTTATGTAGTCTTTTCCAGGTGTAAGAACACCTCTTTGTTCTTACTGTGGAAAATTACAGCAAAATGGAGTCTGGAGTCACATGGGCAAGTTCCTGCATACCTTGCTGAGTCTCAAGGCATATTTGCCTTTTCTCAATGGGTCCATTGTATAGCTGATGGTCCTTAATAGGCCATCAAGCAGGCTAGGCAGAGCTAATCCCAGCTTGTCTGGGATGTCCCCCAGAAGCACAGCATACGTTTGCCATACAGACAGTATAGAGCCAATATTCATAACTTCAACTACAAAACTGATACACACATATAGACAGCATAATCATAACCAGTAAACCATAACCTTGTCTTAGACACCCCATTTGACCCCCTTTATACACGATTTGGGTGCCACTACAGGACCTTGGTTGCAACAATGATCTATATGGTCCCAGTTTATGTCAATAACATCACACTGAGGCATTCCCAACCTCCATCTTTCTGTCTCTCAGGGATTCACCCAAGAGCTTGGGCAGTGTGCCAGGCAACACCTATATGAGATTTTCGCCATCCTGGAGCACTGGGAAGAGTTCATCAGCAGGGTGCAGCTCCAGCCTTCTGCCGGTGGCTCTCTGGAGGTACGGTCCCACCTAGCATCTCTGCTCTTTCACCCACCCCTCCACCAGCCTTTGCAGGTAAAGGGCCCTGCCAGGGAGGACCCTGCTTCCCAGAAGCCTGTTCAGCAAAGAGCTGAATTTCCAAGCAGTGGCTCAGCCTCCGTGCAGGGAGCCCTTTCCTTACTCCTCTGTGGAGTTGCAATCACAGCACAATGGGGTGGATCCAGGGGGGAAGGTGGGTCCTGTTGTCTAAGGTCTCCAGGATATCTCCTGGGGAGCTCAGACATGCTCCATGCAGCCCCATAAACAAGGCTCAGAGAGGGCCCAAAAGACACTGCCAAGCCATAAGCTCCAGATGACACATTTCTAGCAGAACAGACCCTTGGTCTTCCCCTGAACTGGGCTATTTCACAGACCTTCCTGGCAGACTCACCAGGGCTGGCATGTCTGACATTAACCTGCATCCCCCCTTCCCCTGCACCACCACCACCACCTTCCCAGTAACTCTCTGGGCCAGTGCAATCCACTGTAGTCCCAGTGACATCTCTGGAGCTAGGCTGAATTAAAGCAGCTGCTAGTGCGTCCCCTTCGGCTGCCGGGTCACCTCAACCACCCAATCCTGGGGAGCTGGGAAGGGCCTCGGAGTCCAGGCAATTCAGCTCAGCAGAGTAGCCTTTGGTTGCTAAGCCGGCTGGGTGAAAAATCCTCCCCTGGCCCCATTTGTAAGTTAGGAGCAGCTGGAGGCCATCCCTTCTCCTCCCTCTTTCCTTTGCAATTCTCAGGAGCCAGCTTCCATCGAGCAGCTGAGAAGCCTCCTGCTCCTCACCTATGGGCACGTGGTCCACTCAGGCCCCACGGACCTCATCCTAGAGACCATAGGCTTCAATATCCTGGCTCCCATGCGACAACACTATTTTCTGAGCCCACAGGTAAGTCAGAGCCCTCCCCTAACCGCCCACACAGCACCTACCCAGGCTGTGCACAGCACCTACCCAGGCTGTGCACAGCAGCACAGAGCTATGTCTTTGCATAAACTCAGCTCAGAGGGCTGGCCCTTTGCCCCAGGAGGGACAGGAGACATGGGAACAGCACCATTCTCTGTGACTGCCCCATCTCAATTAGCTTCTTCTCTGATTCCAGGCCCATGGAAGCTAATGGAAGGACTCCCATTTTTCCTTGTTAGAGTGTAACTGAGCATCACTTGGTGCTATTGTCCCAGAGACAACTGTACCCTGTTTGGTACCTCTAGGCTTGTGCTGCACTCAGGGATCAGAAGATAAAGATTTAGGGCCTGTTTCCCCACACACTGCATTCGATGGTGTAGCTGGGCACAAAAGGCGCACTGAGGGATTCAGGCCCCTAACCCGGTTGACAGGCTCTGGTGCTGAAGGGGGATTTTTAAGATAATTCTAGGTTGTTTTCTTGCCATCCGAGGTTTGAGGCCGACGTTCAGTCCTACGCTGGTTCCGATGCCCATATGCGCGTCCCAGCGAAAAGTAGAGGGGATGGTATTTTGGTTTAACTGAATGTTCTCCTTGGTAGGGAGAGCCCAGCCAACTGCAGAGAGCAGCAGATTCCTGTCCCAGATCGGCCAATTACGACCTGATTGCCAGGGGAGCTGAGCAGTCCCAGGGCCCACTGACAGCTCTGGGAACTGCAAGTGCTCAGCACCTCTGGGAATCAGCCCATTCCTTGCATTCATCTCCAGAGATATTCCCCTAGGCCAGGGGTTCTCAAACTCGGGGTCGGGACCCCTCCAGGCGTCACGAGGTCATTACGTGGGGGGGTCGTGAGTTGTCAACCTCCACCCCAAACCCCACTTGCCTCCAGCACTTATAATGGTGTTAAATATATTAGAGAGGGTGTTTAATTTATTAGGGGGGGTCACACTCAGAGGCTTGCTGTGTGAAAGGGGTAGTCAGTAAAAAAGGTTGGAGACCCACAGCCCTAGGGAATCCAAAGATGTTCCACTCAGCAAGCCAGGTCCTTTCCCTTAGGGCATGAGGGCAATCCCGCCTAGGACAGCAGCTCCCTTGTAGAGACTCGCCTTGTAGCATTGTGTCTCAGCTCTCTATTGCCTGTGGCTGTTTCCTCATTGTTCTCTCCCCCTCCTGCCTGTGAGCCCAGGACCCACTGGTGAGATCTGCTTTTGTGAGAAGTCTCGCACTGGTGGGTGAAGCTGTCACCCAACTGAGCAGGATTCCCTTGGTGAGCCAGGACACATACACCATGCTGTCCCCCCCTGCTGGTGAGTGAGCACGCTGGGGTCCTGGGAGGTGTCCCTAGGGCAGACACACATGCCACAGTCTCTGGCGTTTAAAGGCCATGTGCTGTGTTTGCAACCCGGTGCTCAGGGCTCTACATTGTGCACTGCAAACCCAGTGCTGATGCCAGATTCTTCTGGTGCGATTCCAGCCCAAGGAATTAAATGACACTATTTTCCATTAGTGGATTTATGCTGCTTACACCTGGGACCATTCCCAATCCCACTTCTGAGGGATCTGCCCTGCACCCAGAAAGCGCCCTGGGGATTAACTCCAAGGGTTTTCACTCTGGGACATGATCCTGAGGAGTTAAGAGGCGCAGCCCTCCCTTGGTTTGCAGGAAAATATTTGACCTCAGCTGTTCAGGACTCTAATGCTCCCCGTCACAAAATCGCCTCTGCCCAGATGCCCCTTCCCTGCTCCGTGGCAGATGCTGAAGTTTCCAGATGTGCCGTCAGGAATGGCGAAATAGGGGCTCTGGTGAATGTCTCCTGCATTCTGGCCACATGGCCGCTCCCAGGCCATCTTCCCAGCTCCATGTCCCAGTGCACTGCACGCTGGGGCTGAGGGTCAGTGGGGGCGTCAAACAGCATTTGGAGATTCCACGTCTTGCTGAGGAACCGGGCTCCCCCAAATTCTTTTGCCTTTGCTTTTGACTCTCTGCTTTGTGCTGCAGGAGATGCTCAGAGGCAAGGACCGGGCCCGGCTGCAGAGCCCTGATCACCAGCATGCCCTGCTGGCCATCTCATACATAGGGTATGTCTATGGGGCCTGACTCACCTGCGGAGCCCAGCAGCCAGGGGAGGGGCAGATGGAGGGAGAGGAAGTGGAGGAGGGACCAGCTGCAATAAGAACTGGAGGATGTTTCTCCCTGGTGGCTCACTAACGGGCCATATCCTTCTTGGCCTCCGGATCACTTTATCCAGCCCCCATCTCTGCGTATTGCCTGGTAAGAGGGAGCCCCTTCCGTCAGCATTAAGTGCTGTGAATGGGTGCAGCCGCAGAGCAGGGCCCAGGACCATTCCTGGAGAGCAGCTTCCCCAGCAGAGCCCCTGCCGGGCCTAGAGGGCATAGGCATCTCCAGACAGGACCATTCCCTAGGCGGTGGCTCTGCTGGAGATGCCCCCTGGAGCTCTGCTGCTAAGGGAGGGAGCTGTCCCTCGTGCCATCAAACTCAACCTGATTCATGCCAGGACCTGTCTCCGTTCTAATGGCTCCGTCTGCTCCATTCCTTCCAATCAGGAAATTTGAGCCTCGCCTGTCTAAGGAACAGGAGGCTGAGACCATCGGCACTTGTATCGCCAGCGCCATGATTCAGCGCCCAGCCCTGGCGAAGCTGAGAGGGACTGAGGTGCCAAAAAGCTCTGCTATCCGGGCAGAGGTTAGTGAGGCATGGACAAAGCTGCAGCTTCCACCTGCCTCCTTGGCTGGGAAACTCAGCCACCCCCCTGCCTGGATCTTGTGCTGCAGACATTCCTGGAGCAGCACCTGACCCCCACCACGCTACTGCATCTCTTTCTGGTATGATAGGGCGGGGGGAGGGGCCCATTCGCACTGGCCATCTGGGGATGGGCCGGCTGGTCAGGTTCTACCCGAACCACAAGAGGGAAGGCTCCAGTTGATCCCGAGGGGGCTGAGCAGGCCTCCCAGCTGCTGTGAACTAGCCAGTCCCCAGGGGGCATACACCCAACCCTGGGATCCAGCAAGACAATCCTAGTCCTGCTCCAGGGGTGTCACTTTGGCCTCCTACATTTCACCTTCAACCACT